TTTCGCGGAAACAAGAATAAAGGAATAATATTACTACCGACACGATGGGTTCTCGACGGAAAGAGACCGTTGTTGATACCTCGGAGATTCGTCCTACTCGGTACAACTCGTCAATTACGGAACCCGTAATGAATGAGCGCCTTCATAATTCGCGAAAATAAAAAAAAAAAACTTATCTCCTCGCCCCTTTAACGCGTCAACGGTTCCCGTCAACAGGCGCCCCCGTACGCTTCGCTTAGCCCGGGACGTAGTAATGATTCTACGGAACAGAAAGTAAATGTAGAAGACCCGTCAACCACCTTCCCGTATCTCTGCTATTTCTCGTCGCGACAGACCGTATAATGCGGGATCGGACGGCCGTGTCGCGACAGAGAACGCGTATAGAATGTCTCCGCGATGCCTCGTCTCGACGATCCTCGACGGAAATTCAGAAGTTACGCATTTCCTTTTTCTGTTCCCTCGTTTCTCCTTCTCGTCTTTCTTTTTTTTTTTTTTTTCGCGAAAGCATAATACCGCTTACGCGACAGGCGATAAGGGTTTTACGCGTGGAAAACGGGCGCGCCCATCGCCACCCTCCTACGATCCATTCAAAGACACGGCGAACGTTATTAAGAACGTTCGTAGCGATACCGAACTTTAACTTAATGGACTTAACGCCGAAGGATTTTCCATTTATCCTCAACCCGTGTATATTTTTTTTTTTTTTTTCGACTACGAACCGCGAACATAGAAACGAACGAACAGGGAAGGACAGAAACGAGGCTGAAGAAGAAGACATTTGAGCAGGGTGCAAAGGTCTTTCTCTCGAGGGACGTATACCCAATACGAACGAACTAGAGTTCGAAATTCCTGGCCACGCAGACGTGTAATATCGCAAACGCATTTATACTATATGCGTGCAATACGCAAGGAACGTTTCGCCACGCACATTTACACCATACGAGCATTGCATCGTGCACTAATCACAGTAAAAGCTGTAGCTCGTTCACGTTATATCCGTTATCCGCCAGTGTCTTGCCTTACTTAATGGAAATATGAGAGGCGTTACACTCGTCTGGTGACACGTCTATCCCGTGTTTCTCTCGTTTTTTTCTCTCCTTCTTTCTTTTTTTATTCCTAGTAATACCGCTGGGACATTGTTCCACGACATAGAACCGCGGTTCTGTCGACAACACGCGGGCGTCGACGACTCTCCTCTTTGTCCCGCGCGTGTCGTCCTTCGAGTCCCACCACCGTATGTATTCCGAAATTACGATCGCGATTCGCGACAAGAACCCCGGTGGAATGATCGACCGGCTGGTTATGGATAACTGGATGTACCACTTCCCAGCAGAGTGTCTATTGATTTCTCGATCGACCGGAAAGGGGATCAATTTCTCGGCCTAATCCGAGCTCGATGATGGCAGTCGAGAAACAGGGCGGAGGGAAGGGTGGAGAACGAAGGGAACTCGGTGGAAAACTCGATCGTTATTACGGTTCCGTAATTAACCAAGGACGCCGATATAACGTCAGAGTCAATTAAATACGCCACGGTCTATCATTTCGATTCACCGCGGTTCACAGTCATCCGGGTGTTTTTCATGCAGAACCGACCGACGACGCCCAGTCGTCGTTGTCCACCTGCGCGCACTAGGGCAAATTGTGATTTATCGCTGGCGAACGTATTCGTCCGGCTGACGAAAGAGAATTGTGGACGTAATGAATTATGACGACTCCGTGTGCGGCCTAATGCAAATATATGGTCCTTCGGGCGTGTAATCAGCCCCCGCTCCGTGCTTGACGTTTAGCGTTTACACGACGACGACGGTGGAATTTTCACCGGTTTCGCCTGTTCGCCAAGCGATCGCGTGTTTCTCTCCGAGAGATCGCGGGCCCAGGGTATGGAGGCGTGCGATCGCTAGTTAACGTTTTTCCATAGTGTTCGCTGGCAATCGTGCGCCGCCGCTTGTCTCCTTTATCCACTCCGGAACCCCTCATTCAAACAACATTGGCATATTTTCTGCGTAACATCAAGGGTGAAACGAAGACCTAGACACCCTTCAACGGAAGGTACAGACAGAGGGAACGGTGGGGTTAGAGGCAACGCAGAGACGGAATATAATCACTACACGTGAACGTGTAATAGGCACAGTGGGTACACCCAAAGTCTTTAATTTATATCTTTCGGATTCTTTGCTAACCTCATCAGTCGATACAGTTATCGTGAATTCGATGATATACATATGTATGTACACTAAAAACCAAATAAGACCGTAACTGCGAAATGACGAATTTCGGTCTTGTTTGCGCATATTCCTCTCGGTTACCATAGTTACCAACGTCTTAAACAATTGAGCATCGTTATGCTTCGTGTAGGATCATACATCGAGTGACTGTGAAGTACAAACGTGCCAATTCATAAGTATTCATATCTTGAGAAATACTTCATTATGTCACCCGGTGTATGACAAATTCTATCGTCCATGTTACAGAGAGACCTCTGGTGCTGATCCCAGCTGCGCGAAGCAGTTATGGTCTTATATGGTTTTTAGGTGTACAGCGTTTAAACATCGTACAGTCGAGCGACACGGTGAATTAATAGGTGATGGAAATAACGTCGAGAATATATTTCACGTTAACATACGCGTGGATGCATATTTTCCATGATATAGGATTTAATTCGCAGCTCGATCCAACGGGATCGCAATTCGAATTCAATAATATACCGGAGCTAGGTTTGAAAGAGCAGCGCGCAGTCTCCGCGATAGCAAGGGTCTCTAGAGCTGTATGCTCGTTGAACCAACCCTTGATAGGTGCACTTTTGGGGTAGCCGGTAAGCCCCCCACGGTAGTGACTGTGCTTCAAGCCTCGAGTGCCCACCGAGACGCGCAAGAGCGAAGGGCTGCCGTACCGCCTATGTCACGAGACGAGCTACATCCAAGATGAAGTTTCAAAATATTCCACGGCGCGCGTTTAATCCGGCTCTCTCTCATTTTTTCTTCCTTTTTTTTTTTTTTTTTTAAAGAAAATATTTCCACGCGGGCCACGCGGCTTAACACTCGAGAAATTCCGCTCGACGACAGACCACGACGACACTCCACAGAATTATGTCTAAATAATTCTATCGAGCGATCGTCGATGTTCAGCTTGGAAATCCGTAGGGTTTGAGTCGTCGCGACGTTTATTTCACGATTACCTTCGCTCGTACGTCGCTCAATCTTTTACCGCCGTTAATAGAAAAAAAAAAAAATAGAGAAAGCATTGATTCAATAGTTATAGATTCTGATATTATTCTCAGGATATAATTTTTACGCGAGCAATAAATAACATTCGGGCAACCAGTTAACAATCAATGATCGTAACAATATTGGAAAGTAGGATCATAATACAATATAGTGTCCCACCTAATGTGAGCACCTTCAATGTGCCACTTGTTCTTGAAGATACAAAACAATGTGAGGAGAATGTATTATTTAGTTAGGAACAAATACTGTGATAAGTAAAAATTTTTCTCAGTCATATTTTTTTCGAAATTTCAAGGTCATTGATATTTCTTTATCCGTGGCGTAATAGATTGAGATCAAGACCAATCCAATGACCTACCATAGTGTGACCTTCATGTGACTTTGAGTACGAAAAATCTACAAATGTATACAAATAGATTTAAATAATAAAATAACTACGATAAAGCTATTAGTGCATAGTAAAGTTATGCTTCGCAACGTGAATATTCGTATTACAAAGTTATTCTTTACGACGTGAATTGAACGCTTTCTTGGCGGCCGGTTTTACGATGACTGTCGGGAGAGTATCGGCCGCTGACATAACGTCGCTCGTAAGTCTTGCTTTTCAGTCGAGATTGCCTGTGCTTTACGCTGGAAACACACATGTTTCAATGGTGGCGGCTTCTCGCGGCTTTTACAAACCTGAGCGGAGAAAAAAAAAAGGAACCGAACCGCACTGTCTCGCCTAGATGCCCATCTGGTCGGGAACAGGAGGGAAGAGCATTGCCTGTTGCGACGAGACGAGAAATTATGAAAATCACTTCATTTATCCATAGAAGCACAAATAAAAGACAATTCAGAAAAAACCACGCGATCCCTACGATACTGATGTCACTATATATCTATAAAAAAAATAAAGAAAGTACAGCGCAGAAGACTTTCGATTGTCGCGTTATCAACGCGAGAAGATCAGCGAATCCGTCTCGCAGGTTCATTGTCTAGTTTGCCTTGGACGCATTACGCGGCTTCTTCGCAATCATCGCGACAGACCGAACCAACAAAACCGGAATTCCACGATTGAAACCGGAGGATCGATACGAAACTGTCTCCCAGCAGCTGCAGGTGCGTGGTGGTACTTGAGTCTCATCTTCAGCCGAATCGACGTCGAAAAAAATAGCTAAATACGCGTGTAAATTTTATTGAATCGTTGGGGAGGGGCTAAGGAAACACGCGACAGACGATCACGCGGTAATGGTTGTCGTCCTTTTCCGTTTCTCCCGCTTCATCCGTGGTCGGGTGCATACGCTTGAAAAATAATATCATTTCTCGAAGAGAAAAGGAAGACCCGAACGAAGGCGAGGGAGATTTAAATGGCGGGTAATTAAAAAAACACGGGACACAAAATCAGCCGGGGTTTCAGCTCATTAGTTTTCAGCCGGCGGTGAACGATGACAGAGAGATCGCGAAAATGCGACGCGGCTGAATACCGGATACAGCAGACACGTTATGTCATCCCGTGTGCAACGCACAACCGCCGCGAGACAAGCACGCGTGTGCGTGTCCCGCGGCGACGTTAATTGGCTCCGCGATGAATATTACAAATACCGGCCGTTTGAAAGGAGGGCCCCGCTTTAATTACGACATAATGCGTGGTGCCGGTCGAGTTACTCGCGTGAAAGACCGATACACACCGTCTCGGGACAAGCAACACCTCGCTTTCATCGAGGATCGCTTGATATGGAAGTCGCTCAAGGAAATTTCCTTCCAGCTCGATTCAGTCCACGGTGTGAACGAGAAATGACGCCGAACGTTTACAAGGAGCGTGTCAGAAAGGTGAAATTACACGAAGGAAAATTACGAAACTTTTAAAAAGCTACATATCCGTATGAATTTGTAGGCTTTCGAGTACGCTGACGCAGAGGCCACCGGATCGTTGACGAAACGGCAATATAAGATCGCCATGACGGCAGTTTTTGGGCATTGCCCGGAGAAAGTAAAATTTTGAGTGGAATATTTACATTTAGGGAAAGGACTCTATTGTCTCAATTTTCGTTTTTTTCGTTTTTAGGTAGAAATAAAACACGCTTTTGAATCCACTGATAGGGTTTCCTATGAAGAATTTGAACATTGGGTATCCACGAAACATTTTACGGATGATGCGCATGTTAATCCGGAAATATTGTTCACGTTACTGGATAAAGACTGTATGACTCTTTTGGCCGTAAAATCAGATAATCCTAATCCTAAAAGAATTTTTCCTTTAGATAAAGGATATTTAGTAGTGGACGACTTTTTTTCGGCAAGTACGTTGGTCGGCCTAAAAATTTCACCCTCGATCTGGGAAACCGTATTCAAAGAACTGGATCGTCACAAAAAGGGATACATCGATTTTGTTGACTTTTCGCGTGTATTGGCAACCGTATACAAAATTACAGCGAGGTAGTCTAGTCTTCAATACAATTTAAATATAACGCAAATTGAAAGACGATAAAGAAACAGCTCACATTTTATCACAATGTCATAAAACGTTTCCTCAATCGTCATTCTATTCACTTCCTTACAGACTAAATTACAGCCCTTGAAGACTCGTACGAAAATAATTACATTTATCTGGTAAAATACAGTCCTCTTGTGTAAGGCGCGTTGCGCTCAATACCGTCAGTAATCCTAAACACTATGACACGTTGAATGTACATGCGATATAGTTCGTCGCGAAGACAAAAATAAATATTCTCATCGTAAGATACTGTACGAAGCAATTTTCATTCTCTGCCGGAGAACTCCTGACTTGCTAGTTGATAAAAGTGGGAGTCAATATTTTGAACCAACAGATTTGGTTCGTCGAACTCTAGAACTTCCCCCTCTCCCATTACAAGAACTCTAAAACGAAAACGATATAATACTACAGTGATGACCGTAGCACTCTGGAAGGAAGACTTTATTGTCGTCTGAATAAATTTATCCGTCTCTTGATCAACATTCGCCGTAGCTTCGTCGATACAGACTATCTACAGAAGGTGATTAAAGAGTGGAAATTATACAGAATACATTACCCCGACAACTTCTAATTAGGAAAACCGATAACGATACCTTGGCATTGTGCAAAACAGCTCTAGCTAAGCAGAACAGTTGCCTTTGTCCCGCACTTAGATTGCTGCCGCATTCGTCTAAAGCAGCACCAAAACCCCCCAAACGATACACCAACGAATGTATTTTACATTTCTCCAGCGCTTTGTATATGTGTAAATCTGGATACTGATTTAATGGATCTAGATTTTCCCTTATTGTACCCGAGAAAAGAAATGGATTCTGTGGTATGATGGCTAATCGAGATCTGAAATAATTTCAGTTCCGTTACGTTTACAGTTATTAGAATCGCTAGATTTTAAATGCTCGAAACTACTACTCCCATCCTACATAATTTAACTATCTCTCTTTATCTGTACCTCGAAAAAGTGAAAGGGCATCCCAAAATCTTTTGGCTACAATATTATTCATTACATCGAAGTAGGTATCAGAGAATCTTACCTTAATGCGTTCAGCTGCAAACTCTGTATATTAACATTGTCTATTAATATAATGCCAGAAGTAATTTCCGTTAACCTGAACAACGAAGCAAACAAGGAACTCTTCCCAGCACCTGTGCGTCCGACAACTCCAATTTTCTCTGCTGGTCGCGTAAAGAACGTTACGCCGTTCAGCGATGGCAGCAAATGCTCTCTGTAAAATATACCCAACGTTATGTATCAGATACTCGTATTGTAACGAGTATCTCGGATTAGCGGTATTTGTTACCTATACTGCAAAACGACTTCTTTGAATTCAACTACACCCTGGCTCGGCCAAGCATAAGGTGGATTATCACCTTTAACAGATTCTACGGGAACGTTCTCGAGATACTGTTTTACACGTTCGACCGCGATCATCTCTCTCTCAGTCTCCGTAAATGCATTTATTACGCCAGACAACAATCCAGTTACAGATAACGCGTAAGTAATAACGAGACCTATCAAGCCAGGATCTGCTATGTTATACTGATGTTGTAGAACTGCTATATTGCTCACTCCAGCTAAGAGAGCCACCCCAATAAGTTGCAGTCTTAATGCAAGCCACTGACTGACAGCGATGGACGCGAATTGCGTTTTTTGGCTGACTTCCAGTAACAGTTCATTCTCTTGTTTGAAACGTGGTATGTTGCGAAAAGCTCTTATAGTGGAAAGTCCATGTAGGGTTTCATTAAAATGAGCGTACAATGGTGAAAGTGCTGTACTCGATAAGCGCTTCAATTCCCTTGACGTTAGTCTGAACAAAATATTAATCAAATACTCTTCTTTAAAAGCTCTATACAGGAATCGGAAAAATCAATGTACCTGTAGTGATTTTGAATCCAATGGTACACTGGAATGAGTGGAGCTAACACTAATAGTATCCATGGCAAGCCGTATGTAGTAACAATAACTGTTGCAAACAAACCAAACAGTTGTGCGAATAAAATATTAGCAATAAAGGGTAGAGTATCGTCAATCGTATATGTATCCGATGAAAATCTGTTAATGATTCTACCGAAGGGTTGAATGTCGAAAAATGCAGCTTTAGCCTAAAATTGTATTCTACGTTTAGTGTATAATACAAAACGATGGTTATTTATTTCTTGTAAAGTTACATACCCGTACAACGATTTTTAAAAGCTTCTTGTGGATAGCAATAGCTGCTTGAATTCCTCCGTATGCAAACACGAATGCTCTCATCAATGTAAATAATGAATTAAATACAGCTAATAAAGCATAAACTGTTAAATAATAATCAGTAGTTAGACTGTAATCATTAAAGTTATATTCCAATTGTAGCAAACTTGGTCTATCCGTAGTATTAGTTGATGTGGTATTAGCATGAGTAACCCAATAAGACATCCACAAGTCTGTCATATTCTTCGAACTTTGCATTAAGAGCATAGAAACAAGTATTGAAATTGTTATATAGCGACCCATAGCCTTAAGATAGCATGTATAGACTCCAAACTGCACAGTTCCTTTCTCTGTAATTTCTTTGTCTAACAAAGGATCTTTCTCAAATGTGTCAGCCTGGTACATTTCTCTCGGTAAGTCGTTGATAGATGTAATATCTAGCTTTGATTCATAAGAGTCTGAAGATAATAAGTAGTCTTCCAAGTCAGGTAAAACATCACTTGGTTTACCTTGATTAATTATCGCGCCTTTTAACATTTCCACCACTAAATCTGCATGAACTAGATATTGAGTTTGATGAGTGCATATTAATCTGGTTTTGTTTTTCAATAAATCTAAAATAACATGCTGAAATATATAGCTAGCAACTTTTGTATCTAGAGTCGCTAAAATATCGTCTAATAAATAAATATCTTTATCCGCGTAAACAGCTCGTGCCAAAGAAATTCGGGTCTTTTGTCCTCCACTCAAAGTGCTTCCTGCCTCACCAATAATTGTTAAATCTTTCTTAGGCAGGGAATTCAAATCAGCAGTAAGGGCGCATGCTTTTAAGATAGTCCTATTGGACATCATTTTGTATTAGAATTTGTGTACACCAATTTTTCTGTATTCTAATACTTACTTGTATTTGTTGTAATCATAAGACTTTCCAAAAAGAATATTGTCTCGAATGGTACCGCGTTGGAGCCAAGGGTTTTGCTTTACATATGCAAAACCCTTTTCAACGTCACTTACTGCTATTGTACCACGGACTTTAATAATTTCACTTAAAATACTGTCTAAAAGCAACGACTTTCCACTACCCACTTCTCCCATAATCCCAATCAAGTGTCCCTAGAACAAAATGTGTTTAGTTCAGAAGAACAATATCGTTTTAGTTTATAATCGACTATTTCTAAATCCAACAGTTTGTAAACCTACAGAGAATTATGTCATACCATTATTATTCTATTACCTTTGGAACTGTAATATTGATATCATGTAGGCTAAATTTACCATCATCTTGAAATGTTACAGTTTTCCTCGAGTCAGAACTAGAAGATGGAATTGTTATATTTTCAGATGCATTTAAACCATTTTCTTCTGTATTATGCTTGGTATTTACAACCAGCATTACATTTTGCATCATTATATCTAACTCAGGCGTACATTCTGAATAATATGATGATATATCAACATCTGGTAACTGGATTCAAAAAATTTGTAATGAAAGTAGAACTCCTTGCGTAACTTCAATTTCATTATCAGACCACAACTTCCACTTACATCTAACATTCTTTGTATTCTTTTAAGTGATACCCAAGCTTCTGTAAGTCCATTCAGTACCCAGGGAAATGCATTTAGTGGACCTATTAGCATATTCAACAATGCCATACTAGTAAAAACTGTTTTTGCATCAAGTTTATTTCCAAGAAGGACATATGTTGCAAATGTTAATATAGAAATCAACACAGGTGTTGTAGCCCAAAAATAAACACATAGTGCATCTAAATATTTTCTACCACTTAAGTATTTGATTTCGTTGTCTCGCAATTCTGAGCAAAAAATACAATGAGAGGTTACATATGAAGAGCAATGACCAATAATAATGAAATACATGAGAATATACTAACTAATAATGTTCCGTAAGAAATGATCTTCCCAGACATTCAACTTGATTGTAGTTATTCCACGAAGTGTTTCCCCTGTAAGTCTGACCCTTTGATCCTTGTACTCCATTAATTTCGTACTAAGCTCGCCAATTTTAGTTGCTATTACTTTATTTATTGGTATAAGCACTATTGCAAAAGTAACCCCAGCTAAGAATGAAATTCCTATTTGCTCATGCAGAAGATACAATGTCACAACCAACTGGAAAATATGAACATAAAATGTTCTTACTACCCGCGACAAAGAGCAAAATACATCTAATAGATACTAATATTGAAAATTTCAAGTGTTTACGAGTAAACTCATGCATACAAAATTATACTAAGAGATTACCTGTAATGGTATGCTCCAGAATGCATGAAAACTTGGACAGCTATTAACTAGTCTATCACTATCTGTACTCATAAAATTAACGATTTCACCAAAATTAAATTGTTGCTTTAACTGAACACTTGAGGAATGTACAGTCTTCCTGTACAATAAAGTAATGACAGTAGATCGGATTTTTAAACCAACAACAGACATCCAAAACGTAAAGTGAACATTGCAGAAAGCCCCTAAAACAATAATATTGTTATAATTTATGTCACATACACAGTCGATTATAAAAATAAAAATAAAATTAAAATAAAGATAAAAATACAAAAGCTGCAGATATTACTTAGGCTACTTTCATGCCTACCTATTAAAGCACTAATAAATATTAATGATGCATACAGATATCCATATGAGATAGATTCATTCTTGTCTTCAATAAAACCAACCAATTTATTCAATAATATTGGTCCCATAAATGAAGTGCAGTCAGTAATAAATTTTAATAGTCCAACTGAATAAAATTCCCATCCAAAGCATTTGTGCAGTAAATGCAACAATGTCATTTTGTTTCTAACAGTTCCTACATCTGTTTCCACCACTAATTCAGTATTTTCCATTCTGTTATTTATATTTCCGGGCTATAATGCATTATAAATTTAAGAACATTTATTGCTTTCAGCAAATTATCACAGGTAGTGGAATATTAAATTTACCATATTTTGCAAATGTTTGTCAAGCTTCTGACTAATTGCATTAGTACTAATATATTCTGGTAAGTCGAATAGATCATCTGAGTGATTTAATAAACCACGAACACCTTTCTCCATTAATGGGTTTACCCAATGAAATACAAATTTAGAGGTTGCTGTTACATCCTCCATAGCAGTCCCAAGGTAAGTTGGGTCCTGTTCCTCTGGGAATCTTACGTAAGAAGAATTAGGAGTACTTAACAGTGCAGTCCGTTCTCCTATCTATGAACATATTTTTCACTGATCTGTGATATCTGTGTTTACTTAATAACCCATGGTTTTAGATATCATAGTCAATTTGGTAACAGCACATGTATTTGGCAATACATGTTTGAAATCTCTACACTGATAAGCATGTGGAAAACACTAATCACTGATAATACTATGAACCACTACATTGAAAGCAAACAACTTATAATGACTTACTTCATTAAATCTGGATGATCTCATATCTTGTAAACTATAATGACCTGGTATCAGCGTTATAGCATAGAGTATTAGTAGAGTGACTACACTGATACTAAATCCCAATGACAAATTTGGCAAAACATCATGTTGTGGATTATATTTGATGTGACTTCTTAATAGCAATATGGAAATAACAATTAGCAGAAGTATCAATGCTCGAATTGTCACAGGACCACGTGGATTAAAATCTCTGCCCTTTCTTAAACTTAATATAAAACAAAGATGAACAACCCATGCTAATCCTTCAATACCTGCCACTAGATAATCAATGGGTTTGGCAGATGTTACATCATCTTTAACTATATCTGATACTGCATTGTAATCTTGCGTATTAGGGGTGACAGAATATTCAGTTACATTTTGAATATTACTTGATGGAAACAAAATTGATTTTGTATAATCTATAGTACGATTCAGTCCTTCTTTTATATGATCTATTATATTCAATGGGGTCAAGAGTGAATCTTGATTTTTGTATGATGCTATGACTGATTCATGTGACACTGAATTATTATCAAATGGCACAATGTTTGGTGGAGCAACTTTAGTATTAACTAGAATAATGTATGCCCTGACTATAGGAAGCAATACAAGGCACATTGTAATTAAAATTCTCAAGTATATGACAGAATTTGGGCCATGATGATGAGAGGAATATGAATTTCTTTTTCCACAATGATATGCTGATATTATTGCAATACAGATTAAAACTGGAATCTGAAAGTTACAAGAAAAATATCCAATGAATATAAAGTTACCACTATACACAACATATATATAATATCCATTAATGTACTAATGTTGAATCACCTGGAGGCATAATTGTTGGAAACACACATCGAGATCATGTGTTTCTGGATTTAGTGGCTCCATGCCTCCATGATATCCACATAATTCTGTCCAATTCCATTTCCATGACTCTTTAACTCCATCATTTAACCAATTATTATCCATATTTTAAAGCTACAAAAATATCAGGAATATATATAGCACTGAACTACCATTTTAAAACTGAAGGAGAATTTAACTTTTTAGAAAATCACAGCAGCGTAGAACATAGAGTTCACTTTATGCTTTAAAAAGATATAATGTCCTATAACTACTTCAATAAGTAAAACAACAATTACTATTACATTAAACTTGTATTACTTTTCATTTTAAGCATATCATTCAGACTTAGAAAGTAGTTTAAATAGAAGCAGGACAATTCCATCAAACTATTTTATTTACTACAAAATCTTTTACAAAATACTCACCCGTGAAACATATATCTTAGTATGCATAATAAGAGTATACGTGTAGGTATAATTTAATATTTTTTAAACGTTTTGCGGAGTATCATATTTCAAATTAACTTCATATTGGAGTAAACTTGTTGGTTAGGTTTCTAATGACAGCCAGTGTACTTAGATGACGCATCTGATAACAATCGGTATGTGTGAGCACGTAGAGGAAAACATTAAAATAAAAAGGATTTTAAACATAACTTTTTTTACCGTAAACTAAATTATCGATGAACATCAAACTGTGAGTAGAAAACTGCTCATTAATAGGTCAATAATTACATGTACTATGTTGTTTAGGCTATTGATTAATAAATGAATTCTATAGTCTGATTACATATATTGGTTAGAAATGAACCAGAAGGAAAACACGCAAGATTACAGACCAGAGGTAATTTTAACTGAAATAGATAATGAAAATTCAGGGCAGAATTTGCAAAATGAAAAAGAGGAAAATACGAGGTTGGAAGAAGAGCTATTAAACCATGTAGCCAACAGCAAAGCAATCTTCAAGAGCCAACAAAAGGATGATCCAGACTTAACATTCGAAGAAAAACTAAATATTGCACATAATGTACTAAAAAAGAGCTACTGTTTATTCTTATCTAAATTCGGGCATTACATGAAGGAAGAACATTTAAAGTATTTTGAAAAAAAAAAAGACGAAGACTATGAGGTCTCCTATCATATTAATCGACTACAGAGATATTTTAACAATTGGACAAGACAAACTGATGTAAGAAACAGAAGATACCAAGCTTTAAAAAGTTTAATAGAACAGGGAGAATACTTCAGTGAATCTGAGATGATGAAACGAAATCCATTGTTATATGACCACCTAGTTGGACAATATATGACTGAAGAGGATAAGAAAAGAAGGGACAACATAGATACCAAGAATATTACTTTTGTAAATCTTCTAATGGAAAACATTGAGAGAGATGCAGTAAAACAAAAACAAAAGTTACAAGAGGAGGAAGAGCAGAGTGTAATGGAAGAAACTGAATCAGATGAAGAAGATGATGATACTTTCATTGCAGAGCATTTAAACTATAATGAAGAACATGGTGGAGAGTGGGGTGAATTACCTGAATTGCAGAATCAGATACATAATGTAAATGTGGGGAAATCATTAAATAAAGGCTTATACAATATCTCAAACATGGAGAAACAAATGCTGAAGCAAGAATTTGTGAGTAATATGTATCACAACTTTTTAGAAGGAAAAGATTCTGATTTTGATTATAGGTATCTATAAAATCTTTCTTTTAGCTTTGATATTTCAATTTATAACTCCACTTTTAAGAATATTTTTCTATTATTTCAGTACTGTAGATGAGAATGAAGCATTTGACAATATAGATTTGAGAACTCAAGATGAAGAAGACAAGTATTTTGATGCAGAATCTCCTGAGAATGTAGGTCCAACTGAAGGAACAAATGAAGTTGAATCTGAGGATGAATTGGATATGTATATGAAATCACTGAAGGTTAATTGATATTTTACAGTTTATGATCAGTGCATATTAAAAAATTCTGATTAAAAAAATGAACTGTTTATTCAATAGGAGCCGGTCAGTACAAGTATACTCCCTTTGGATAATCTTGTATGTGATGATTACTCTTAAATGTAATCTTGTATGTATATGTACAGTACCATAAGTATAATATTTGTAAATAAAAATCCTTAATCATTCTGTAGTTACAACTTTTTATTATTAGATCATGTTGAAAACTGCTTTATTTAAATTAAAAATATTTATAGAACCACAGTCTTAAGTTAAAATAACAGTATTAATTGTTACTATCAGAATGTGTGCAACAGTTTGTCCGCAGATGCTATAACAGCAATGCGGTTTTCTATGTACACCTACGAGCAAACTTGGCTTCCACTAGGAAAAAAAGTGACGTAAGGAAAAGACCTCCTACCACTTAATAAATTTATTTCAAGTACTGAAATAAATTTTAAATCGAATGTTAATTTGACATAAATTTCAATAATTCCCGATACCAAATTTTAGGAGGCCCTTCTTCAACGCCACTTTTTCCCCTAGCGGAAGTCGAGTTTGCTCGTGCGGGTACATAAAATCTGTATGTAGTTGTATTATATAGTGTGTGTCACTTTTGTGGTAGGTGTTTCGAGTGCGAGAAACGACGTCAAGTACTTGGAAAAAAAATGGTAAGTACGGATTTCATTTCAAGGAGCATGCGAAACCCATGCTTGCGGAATTAGTTGACTAATTGCCATTCGAATTTCAATGAAAATACAAGCAGCTATCGTTGGAGATATTATCTGAATGTCATGAAGGTTAACTGTTGTAAAAATTTAATTGTTTATAGTTTATATTTAAGAGCTTGTCGATGTTTAAAGTCCGACTGATATTCTTGCTTCTTGTTTCTTCGTTTATTTTATTGTGTGACATTTCGTTCGAATTATAACCTCCAGCTGTAATTTTGTGCTAAATGTAATCAGAATTTGGTATTCAAAACTGCAACACCCATCTTTTTTATTATACCCATTTACTATGAGTGTATAATGACATTAGATATTCTGCTTTTTAAATAATTTACTAAGCTTTTCTCATTAAATGGTGGGTAGATTTACAACTACAGGAGGTTTCTCCTTGCCCTTGCTATTGTATATGTATAAATAGCGCATGCTCGCATTGAATGGCTTACCTAGCATGGTACTACCTGGTATTCCTGGTAGGTATCTTTGTTTTTTTCACAGCCAATGACACCTGCCATAACTGGAGTAGAAGAGCAAGATAAACTACTTGAAGATGCGATTGGTGTGGTCAAAGTACAAGCTTTCCAAATGAAACATTGCCTGGATAAGTCCAAATTGATGGATGCCTTGAAACATGCTTCCACAATGTTGGGGGAACTTAGAACTTCGCTTCTTAGTCCAAAGAGTTACTATGAACTATGTATCCTTCACAAACTTAGTTGTATACCTGTAATTGTAAATCCTTTCTAAGAGTTCTTGGGCTAATACAATTATTCTTCTTACATTTAATCTTAGATATGGCTATTACAGATGAATTGAGACACTTGGAACTTTACTTGTTAGATGAATTTCAGAAAGGAAGGAAAGTCACAGATTTATATGAATTGGTGCAATATGTTGGCAATATTGTGCCTAGACTGTAAGTCTGATGTATAAACATCATGATAACACAAATATAATAAATCATCTCTGATACATCTGTCATTAATCAAGGTTTATTGATAATGTATTCAATATTTTAGATATTTGCTTATCACAGTTGGATTAGTATATATAAAAACAACTCCTGGTTTAAAAAGAGATTTGTTAAGAGATTTGGTGGAAATGTGTAGGGGTGTCCAACATCCTTTAAGGGGTCTTTTCTTAAGGAATTATTTATTACAGTGTACTCGTAATATTTTACCAGATGTTGCAGAAGGGGACGATGAGGATGGCAGTGTATGTATTGGAGGGAATCAAATTTTGAATATGTAAATTAAATTGTGCTCCCCCTTAGGTTCGAGACAGCATAGATTTTGTCTTGATGAATTTCGCAGAAATGAATAAATTATGGGTGCGCATGCAACATCAAGGTCATAGTAGAGATAGGCAAAGAAGAGAACGAGAAAGGGAAGAACTTAGAATTTTAGTAGGAACTAATCTTGTAAGACTTAGTCAGTTGGAATCAGTAACTTTAGATAAATATAAAAAGGTGGATATCCAATACATTTTAATTGCTAAGATGTTTTAAAATAACTAACTAATAAGAAGATAATTTTCAGCTTGTTTTGCCAGGAATACTGGAACAAGTAGTGAGTTGTAGAGATGCAATTGCACAAGAATATCTTATGGAGTGTATAATTCAAGTAAATAAATTTGGAAATAATTAAAAGTATTGTATAATAGTTTTGTGATGAATTATTTATTTGTATGACTTTAGGTTTTTCCTGATGAATTTCATTTACAAACACTAAACGCATTTTTGAAATCTTGCGCTGAGCTACAAAATGGTGTAAATGTAAAAAATATAATTATTTCACTGATAGACCGTCTTGCAGCATTTAGTCAAAGATCAGATGGTGTGGGAGGGCCAGGTAGCCCGAACCAAGCACCAGGAATTCCACAAGATGTAAAGCTTTTTGATGTGTTTAGCGATCAAATTGCCACCATTATACAGGTTGGTACTAAAGAAAATATAAGTCTTTAACCGAGTTTTTCTTTTACATACTATGATGATCTGATACTACACTAGGTTGATACAAATGTGATCAAACTTATCAATTTTTAAACTATCCTTACTTATCTAGTTTAAGTCTGAGAAAACCTTTAAATGGTAATCATTAATCCTTTTATTCCTTCTGACTGATAGAACTAACTTTTTTTAGACTAGGCAAGATATGGATCTGGAGGATGTAGTTTCCCTTCAAGTAGCTCTCATCAACTTAGCACACAAGTGCTATCCTGACAGAGTAGACTATGTAGATAAAGTGTTATTAACAACTGTTCAAATATTCCAAAAGCAAAACGTAGTTATAAAGTAAGTGGAAACATACAAGATCGAATTCATACATGCTTAAAAGCTTAATTAATATAAACAATTTTCAGGTCGGACTACAACGTTGGTGTCTCAAGGGAATTATTAAGACTGCTGAAGATTCCAATAGATAACTATAAGAATATACTAACAGTTTTGAAACTTGAACATTTTGCTCCATTATTAGAGTATTTTCATTATGAGGGTAGAACAATTATAGCTATGCATATAATAACAAGTATTTTGGACAATGAAACTTTAATACCAACTCAAGAACAAGTAGATGCAGTGCTTTCTATGGTGTCTGCATTTGTGCAAGATCAGCCAGATCAGCCTAATGTAGAGGAAGATCCGGAAGACTTTGCAGAAGAACAAAGTCTTCTTGGTAGATTGATACACCACTTTAAGGCTGAAACAGCCGATCAACAATACATGATATTGAGTGCTGCTAGGAAACACTTCAGTGCCGGTGGAAATAAGAGAATAAAATATACTCTACCGCCAATTGTGTTTCAGGCGTATCAATTAGCTTTTACATACAAGGGATTAAAGGATCAAGTTCGTAAATTATTAATGTGATAATACATTTGTTCTAAACGTGATTTTTTCTAAACCTGGTCCGTTTTTCTTTTTAGGATGAAATGTGGCAAAAGAAGTGTCAGAAAATATTTCAGTTCTGTCACACAACTATCACTGCATTAATGAAGGCCGAGTTGGCTGAGTTACCGTTAAGGCTATTCCTTCAGGGTGCCATAGCAATCGGTGAAATTCGTTTTGATAATTTTGAAATGGTTGCTTATGAATTCATGAGTCAAGCATTTTCTATATATGAAGATGAAATAAGTGATTCAAAAGCTCAGCTGGCAGCAATTACATTAATTATTGCTACATTTGAGCAAATGAGTTGTTTCAGCGAAGAGAATGCGGAACCTGTTCGCAATCAATGTGCCTTGTATGCTAGCAAGCTATTGAGAAAACCGGATCAGTGTAGAGGTGTTGCCACTTGTTCTCATATATTCTGGTCTGGCAAATCATTAGCAACGGGAGGAAAAGAAGTAATTAGCAACTTGTCTTCAATATAAATGGGTGAAAATGTACTGAAATTACAATTATTTCAGATGCAAGATGGCAATAAAGTGCTAGACTGTTTGAAGAAAGGCATTAGAATAGCTAGTCAGTGCATGGATACCTCAGTTCAAGTACAACTTTACGTTGAGTTACTTAATCATTATATTTACTTCTACGAGAAAGGAAATACAGCAGTGAGAGTCGCTTAATTTTTAATGAACATATTTAGTAATGAGCATAATGTATTAAGTAGTAATTGTTTTTAGGTAACGGTTCAAATTTTGAATCAAGTAATTGCAAAAATTAGGGAAGAACTTCCCAATTTAGAAGTGAGTGAAGAGACGGAACAAATTCAGAAGCATTTAGCTAATACGTTAGAACATTTAAGAAACAGGATGGAATCTCCGGAAGCTGATGGTCTTTCGTATCAAGGACTTGTTCTATAATACACTATTCGTAAGTTATAATTTTGTACATAAAAAAAATTTTCTGATTGTTTTATAAACTGATTATAAATTTCTATCATACGAGCTGTATCGATTTGCCTTCAGTAATGAAATTGTTAATTTTTAATATCATTCCTTAGTTCATGAAACATTATCAGCATATCTGTTTTAATAAAAGTTTAATGTATATATTTATTTAACTAATTGTTGACCTAAATTAAACAGTCCCTTTTACTGGTATCGGCCTCTGTGGCAAAACGTGCAAACTTGTACGGAACTTAATACGGAGGCCAACGAAATATCACTGTAACACTTAAAAAAGTTTTAAAATTCCATTTATATCATTGTCCTGTGAAAATGTTCATACTTCCAGCAGCATTCATATTCCAATCAAAGAATTTACAGAATAAGGAAAAGGAATCTAAAGTAATTTTCAGTTGTTCTATACATCTTTATCTCGAATAATTTTCTAAAACATTCAAAGTACTAGACATATTTACACTTTGAATCTCATATCGATTTCTAAAATAATCCTAGTTCGATGTATTATAGAATGTGGTTTTATCAGATAGATTCGAAGTTCGCAGCCATTAGCTCGATATTGTCTTCAGTTTACAGTACTTTACCGATGACAATACCGATTGCCCAGGCCTCACCACGAGGAGGTTGCTGCGAGTGGAGGCCCAAGGCAAGTAGATGGAATCACAAGTTCTACATCTACCCACCTTTCACAATAAACCTTATAAATTACTTAAATCTTAACTATATAATACTACCGATACTAAAATCCCTCGGCGGATGACTTCTTTCTTGAGCCTAAACCTATAAAAAACTAAGTTCCCTCGTCGGTTGTCTTCGTTCTTCAGCTTAGAACTAATATTATCTTAATATTCTAATTAATACGAATTAATGCTAGTAATACGAAATAACAAATTTAACGCAATGTAGTCGCTAATACTCAAACGAAAGAGATAGACGGAATGGAAAAAGTTCCATCGATCATTTCGTTTACGCACCTAATATACCAAGCCAAAAATTAATTCTACGATGAACCACGTTAAACTACAGTATGAACAAGTATCGCGATCAAAGTGTTGCCAGAACCTGGTTTAAGAAAATAGGAAAGACGGGCGCAACCTCGCAAACCCGAATCCATCTCTCACTTTCCAGGCCCTTTGGGCTGGTCACCTACGTACCAGACCCGAGCACAGGTCATGACCAAGTATGGTAGTGCAAGCGAGATCCCCTGTAAAACAGAGTCCTTTTACGGAGCAGACTCCCGTCTACTCCGTAGGCGGGTACGTTGTACCCAGGCGCGCACGAGCCTTTACTCCAAATCCTACTTACCAGGCAAAGACTAAACACGTCCGATATCTGGCTTCTCAATAGAAACCAGAGGGATCGGCAAACAGTCTTAGTGCACAGGCCCACTGCCCGTACCATAATAGGTACAGACCCACTGCCCATACCCCAAGTCTGTGTAGAGAAATCAACGAGCAAAATGAATTAATAATAACTTGGTATGCACAATGGCTGATCACAATTTAAGTCTATTAATAGATAGACTAAAATTAATAATAAACGATGTGATGATGAATATGAATATAACAATGAATATCGAATTATGATTTAAGTTTAACTTACAGTAACTTAACGCAGTGGTAGACGCACGCTTTGAAGATGTAGACGTTGATCGATGTCTTCTTTCGATGGAATAACTGTTTGGAAAAATATTTTTCATTATACAATACACATAGAATACATAATATGCACAGTAAATAAATCACAGTACATAAGAAGATAAATATCGAAGCCAATGGTTCTCGAACATCTGTAACATACAAGGGATTAGTAACAAGAGAAGGGACACAACAATATGCACAGTAAATAGATTAATAATATGCACAATAAATAAATCACAGTAAATGAAACACAGTACATAAGAAGATAAATATCGAAGCCAATGATTCTCGAACATCTGTAACATACAAGGGATTAGTAACAAGAGAGGGGACACAACAATATGCACAGTAAATAAATTGATAGTAAATAAATTGATGGTTGTCGAATGCCTGCAACAAACAATAGGTTAGTAACAAGAGAAAGGACGAGTACGAGACGCGCGACCACCCTTCGCGACGGCTCACGAGAAAGTGAGGAAGCTAACGCCGTTATGTATTATGTATTGGGCGTACGCAGGTTTGTTCGTGTTGAATTGTTTTTGCCGACTTGAACGACCTTCTTCCTTGAAAGACCCAAACACCAGATGGTACGGCCATGGTACATACGTACACGGCTAGGTCAATAAACTCTGTGACGCAACGTCACGCGCGTTGGACTGATGGAGAGCACCGATACCGCGGCTCGCTCTCCCGCTCTCGCTCGCTCCCGTTCGACCGCTCCGGCCATCTCCGGGACCGTTCGGCACGCGTCGGAACCGACGGAGAGCACCGATACCGCGGCTCGCTCGCATGTCGTGCTTAAATATTATTCAGACTTATTAAATATTGTAATTTATCCATCGCAAATAATTTCCTCTTCTGTAGCTTGTAAATCTTCCGTACGGTCTTCAAAGCTTCGTAATGGTTTCATAAGTTTGTCGCCGAAATTTTCATTCCTGGAGACATACGATAGATGTGAGTAATGAAATGCAGATTGCTCTCTAGCAGGTTCAATCTGTTGTTATTAAATACATGTGGATGATACGAGAGTGAACAATAGTGAAATGACTTGAGTCGACATCAACGTGCGCTTGAAACTTGATTTTTTGTTGCCGTTGCTCGTACAACTGTCGAATTCGAACTGACGCTTGTCTGTTCTTCCTAAACACTTTGCATAATAATTGCTAAGGAAAAACTTGTTTGAAATTACCCCATGAGTCTCCCATTTCCGGGCTCTCCAACATTTTTGTTACATCCTGTGTACATAGCGGTGACTCCGGTGACTCTTCTCCAATGGAATATGGGTATTCAAACTGATTGAAACGTTCAAAATGGCAGTGGAGGTATTTTAAGTGGTCTGTTATTTACTGCAAGTAATAAGTGTACAGGAGGTGTATCTTGTGATATTTATTGAATTCTGAACACAGTTTTGTGTTACAAATGCATTCTTTAAAAGGACTATCAGGGACATTGAACCGGTACTGCACAAATTTTCTAAGAAGATCGTTAACCTCTAAATCGGCTGAAAACACGAAGCCTGAAGAACAAAGAGGTAAATAATTGTATGGAAATTCTAAATGAAATGTAGAATAGAATGAAATAATACTGTCAAGGGTAGCACATATTTTGCAACATATTTTTCTTTACATGTAATAGGAAACATATATTATTTCAGAGAAGAATATTCTGATTGACTATATTGAAGGTGTTACCACAATTGGTATAAATCGTCCTGACAAAAAGAATTGCCTAGATGTAGCCACTGCACAAGAATTAGTGGAGGAATTAGAAAAATTTGAAAATGATCAAGAGTCTACAGTCGGTATAATTCATGGGATTGGAGGTAACTTTTGTAGTGGCTACGATTTAAAAGAAATTGCACAATATAATGATAAAAATGAAGAAGTTTTACCACAATTTGGGCCATTGGTAAGATAATTGCATTTGTGATTCTGGATAAGAGGCTTGGTATATCATATTTTAATTAATTAATTGTTTACAGGCAGATAAAGTTGAATTATGTAAGAAACCCGTAATTGCTGCTATAAATGGATATGCAGTAGGTGTAGGATTTGAACTTGCTTTAATGTGTGATCTAAGGGTTATGGAACAAAGTGCAGTAGTAGGATTTTTAAACAGACGCTTTGGTATTCCTATATTGTGTGGTGGTACTGTTCGCTTGCCTGCTTTAATTGGATATTCAAGAGCAATGGAAGTAATCTTGACAGGTCGTGCTGTTTCTGCAGAAGAAGCACTGAGCTGGGGTTTAATTACTCGCTATACAAGTGTTGGTACAGGTACGATTGGATTTTCAGTAATACACAGTAGCATACAGAATATAGTTACAATTATATTCAACTAAAGAATATCATTTTATTTGCAGTGCTAGGTGATGCAGTAAACTTGGCTAAATCACTTGTGAAGTTTCCTCACAGTACATTGCTCGCAGATCGTGCTTCTGCACACTATGCTACATTTAATGCTAAACAATTAGAAGAGGCTCTACAGTTTGAGAAGGATAATTCCTCCCATCTAGTATTTGAGGAAGGTGTTAAAGGAGCCAAAAGGTTTGTTACAGAAAGATTAGGAAGACATGGGAAATTTCATAATATAACTGTAGTTGATAAAACTATCAAAGATCTTGATAAAGACCTTCTGTAAAAGTTTTGTAACATTAGACAACTATTGTTTTGTTTAACACGATTGATTTTCTTTGAAGACAAAGCTATTCATAACCATTGTATATAAAGTAAAATACATTTCAAATATTTAATATCATAACTAGAATTGTGTAATCCTATTTATATTATTGTTCTTCTTCGACGTAAATTTAGCAGAAGAAGTTCTCTTCAGTAAAGTATGAGATTTTAATATCGAGTCAGTGCATCTTTTCGCCACCTTTTCAGTCATGAGTGTCGTCAAATTTATGATTTTACCGTTCACATCTCCTAGGAACATTATACTTGAAATAAATGATATTTTATATGATGTATTTATTTATACTCACGTTGGTACATAACTATAAAATACGTTAAATTTGCGTGAAAGATGTTTAGGCCAGATGTGGAAGGCTCAAAGAAGGATATTTTTTTTAAGTAACAGTTAATTTCATCGCATAAGTCAAACTCAACTGAAAGTATTAAATCATTCTTTCGTATCAATAATATAATAGTAATTTGGTAGTTCTACTTTTTTTCTCTGGAATATAAGTAGCATACTCGTGTCATCTAATCCTATAATGTTTCGAATGTAATTCAATATCAGTTTAATCGGGCAATTGATATTTATCAAAAGCTCTTTTTCGGTCTCGTCAATCCCTTCATATTGGTCGTCCTTGTTAACTATAAATCGTATATAAAGTTTAATTTATAATCGAGTAGTTTAATGGAGACACTTTTACCAGCATATTTAATTCGAATAATTGACGTCATAATTAAAATTCCTCAATGCACGAACGGTCCAAGAGTAAACGAGATTAATACCAGTTCAATGAACAATATTCCCTATAAATTACGAGGTTAAAATAATTGAAATTTAATCGATGTTTCATTGCTGTCTGGTGATCTGCTATTTGTGTGTCCTCAACTTTGACATACTCCTCCAGGTTTGTACTAATATCCGATGATTACCTTAAGGACCTACAGATGTTCGACACGTAGAAAAGTATACACCTTTTACGTGCTTTTCTTTTGGAAAAATTAAATCTAACTGGAAACTAGACTTTTTAGCATTCAAGAGTGTATTCTTTATTACCATACAATTTGCAAATCCATGTTTTAATTTGGTTCAAGTCTCCGATAATCAAGATTTTCCTAATTTGATTAAAGATGCTGATCAAGAATATCGTACAGAAGATAATTTTAATATCTGCGTTGTTAGACGGTCATCTTGGCAATAGCACCATTCCATAATTTTCCAGTACATTAGAAAATCAGGGATTAATATTCACCCCGCTAAGAATTCTGTCTGTTTCTACATGAAACAGAAATTCCATTAAACTATTTAGAGTATGCTATATATAAAAGAAAAATCCATGGTACAGACATTATCGATTCTCCGCGGCGAAGATGCATACAAGATGAACAGACAGGATCTCCCGTTTGGCCCCGGACCATTCGGTCTCCTACGGAGTGCTCACGGCGCATTCATTCGACTGGAATTCCGAATAATCGATGGAATTTCATATTCAAGTTGAACAACAAATGACCGTCCACGGGGCTTAATTGGCGAAAGTAATGCGAGCCGGCCAACCACCGTCGAGAGCCAGTTGAAGCTGTGTGACGAAACAAGTGCAGGTGGCGGTGCATTGTTGCGCAATCGTTCGCGTATCCCTCCCTCCTCCTCCTACTCCTTGTAGCCAGGAGTCAGGACGAGGGTCCCCTTCGTAACCAGAAGGCCCTCCCCACCAAGGTGCCTTCCTCCCTGCTCGCGACCTGGTGAATGTTGCGCCCGCAACGACGATCAGCACACCGAGAAGCTGTTTCTTTCTTTCGTTTCTTCCTCCTGTCTTACCTTTCCCAAGGACTCCGGTCCTATTTTTTGCTCTAACCCCCCCCCTCCTCCTACGATTGTTCTCTGTTCATTTTCACTGGAAGGTGGACAGCGTAGCTTCGTGGAACGAGCTGACTGAAGTCTTCTCGAGAACTCCACCCTTAAGGCTTTGTTGGGGTCGAAGAGGATTCTCGAAGTGAATTGGGATGGACAATTAATGGCTGACGGAGCTGAGTGTTGAATATCACGAGATTAGAGGATTTTGTAGTAGACCTCCGATCCTTGTGTCCCTATGGAGTATGGTTGCGATGTTCTTGCAGGGAATTAGAAACAGTTTAGGGGGCTACTGAAAATGCCCAGCGCAGATGCTTGGAATCGAAAGTAGGTCGAGGCGGTTCGATCGACTCGGATCTAGAATCGGGATCCACAGACGAGAGAGTCTGCTGGAAGTGGATGGTAACGTCTGGATGAATTAGATGGGCGGTTAGTAGCAAAAACTGAGAGTTGGTAACTCATGTTCTATTAGTTAAGAGTTAAGCGAAAGAGGAGTAGGAGAGGATGGTGGAATGGTTTTTTTTATTACTTATTGTGTCAGACATTGTATTCTATTTATCCCTCTATATTACTCTACTGGCATAAAGTATTGCCTCACTCGACGAGCCTCTTTATAAGGGAAGATTGTACCCCGTAGGCACCGAGTTAAATAATAATCGAACAAAAGGTCAAAACGTAAAAGGTTCAAGCTTTAACTTGCTTTTCATTTAAATAAATTTTTATGAATATTGGCAGACATATGGAACATTGAATTTCGACAATTTTTCACTAGTGCACAAGTGAGGCAATACTTTTTGCTAGTAGTGTACGATGTGTTCCTCATGTTTGAGAAATAGTTATAATTTCAGTATGCAAAATCTATAATGAAAGTTTTTACTTTTTTCAATTCCTATTTCTACGAGAACAGTCCCGAGAAGTCGAAATTTCGAGATGAGTTAACGTTTACATTCAAATGCACATTTCTAAACCGCATCTACCGGCATTATAACATTTCTGCCAGTATAAATTACATCGTATTCGCGTCTTTCACCCGATCAAGTTGCGTCAGATCCTTGTTACCCAATTTTCTTTATGACTATGAAAGTGTTTACGATCGGAGAATCACCTGGCGAGGCGGGTTAAAAAAAAAAAAGAGAAAAGAAGATCTGAATAATGCTCCCGGCGAAGAAATATTGAGTAATGTAATAAACGAGTGCCTCGTTACGTGTAATTTCAAAGTGACGCTTAAACGATCCGATGATCGAGCGAAACCAGGAAGGAGAACTATGCGGGAGATGAAAGGGCGGTTCCCAGGATCTTCTTTCTGAACAGCGTGTACGTGGCATTTCAGAGGAAGATACTTACCGGGGGCCTTTCACGAATCGTTGCTCGATCGAGGAGCGTATTATTGTTAGCGGTGAACACGCGAAAGCAAAGTTCTTTCAGATGGGAGTGGCTAAGAGTCGCGATCCCTTTCGTCGAAATAAAATAAAGTGTAATTACAATCGGTTACGAAAATATTCACCAAGTGAAATTATTAAAATACGACCTCCGTTTTAATAGAACCTTCAGGATGTACAGTTCGAGTTTGTTATTCAATTCCTTGTGCATTTAGAGATCCGAGTTTCTGAGACCAGGGAGAGTTCCTTGCCTTGGAACTTCGAAGTTCAGTAGAAAGGGAAGTTCATGGCGAGACGAGGCATCGATCAATTCTTTGCTCGTCGGGGGACTTCGTTCCGATGTTGTTAGTATAATAGCGTTATAACAATTGTATTCAATCGAAGGATATTAAGAAATTGTTGCAGTTTGTTAAAATTTTTTCTTCGAAATATATCATTAAATTTGTATTTTGGGTTTTTAATGTTCCTAAATGGATATTTAGCAGTCTACTCGATGTCTTGCTTTAAATAAACGTGTAAGTAGAAATTGTTTTCAACAAAAAAGATAAACATTGGCCGACAGATGGTAGATTATGGAAAACGAATGATTAGCTATCGTTCAGAAAATGGCCAACAATTTTACACGCACTTTTTTTCATTTTACATTTTGTTCCTTCCGATAATTGCTAATGATTTCGGGTAATAAGTAAATGCAAAATTATTTCTTATTCGTTATCGAACGTAGTTGGATACATACCGAATATCGTCTCGTTTCATTCGGTATTTGCGAGCCATGTTATGGTGACAATAACAAATTTTACAACGCGTCGAATACCTTCGTTGGTCTCTACGAGCATAACACTACAGTAAATATTTTATAACTCTCATTTTATAGCATTCAAATCCTTAGAAATGTTGCACACATTATCTCCATATATATGTATACATATATTCACTAATACACATTCAATTTATTTGAATAAACCGCTATGCCCTATATAGTTCTTACACGAAGGCTTTGTGATTATCCCATTAACCGCATACTTTCGCCACTCGCTATATGTATGTATAGCGTACAGAATACACACAGTGCACTTAATTCTTGAAACCAATTCGAATCGTTTGTGTTAATACGTCGATTACTAATTTAACGGAGATCAAAAAAGTAACAAAATGGCGCGTGTTAAAAAATTCATTGTCGACATCTAGAGAATTTTTAGAGTGCAGATTTTATGTATTTATCACAAACACAAATTCAATACAGGTAAATTTTTAATAAAATTCATCATTCGACATTCTGTCGAACCATATATAAACTTTAATAAAGGTAACAACATTGTATTACACCCCAATCTGTATAAATTATTTCACAAAAATGTATATTTGCATAAACATCCGCAGTCTAGTGATCATTCACTAGAAGTGTTTCTCAACATCCTCGTGAAAGTCTGAATTTTTAGGGAATTTTTTGTCGATTTTCGACCGAGATTAATAAGTATCATGCATGAAACACATTTCCACTATTAATAATAAGTTGATGAGAGTTTTTCTGAAGGATAAAAGAAATGTGCTATTGATTATTTGACCTGCTAAATTTTTATTTTGGACCACAGTGCGCCCAGTTAAAAAAATTACCTTACGTGAAAAACCACGTTTAACTCGTCGTTAAATATTTTCGACTTCGCCGTTCTTTCTCGTATATCCTGAAACGGCACGAAAATGGCTTTTTTTCTCTCCCTGAGGCGCGGTTTTCATACACTAGGCGAAACGTAAAAAACCATGGGAGACGCTGGTCGGTCGATTTTAGTTC